GACCTTAGATTTTTTTTTAAACTGAATATGAAGTTGAAACATTTTATTTTGTTGAAGACATTTGGGAAGTAAACCAGTTAAACTGCATGGTGCCACAAATGTAAATTATGTGGTAAAACAATAAAATTTACGAAATTGAAAATATTGCCAGAAGATGTACGCAGGTATATATAATATGATGCCAGAATAACAACGGCTTGATCATGAAGAATACATTAGTCAGCATGTTTTTTTTTTGCTCTTCAGATGACGCGGTCTTGAAACAGAATTTTCCGACATTAGTTATTTACTAGGAGATAAATAAAAATGATACATTCCTGATATCTGCAGCTGCAACAGAGCAGATTCATTTCCTGTGGAATCTCTGCACAGTCCGTGAAGATGAGTTGAACCTTTACTAACGTTTTAAAACCCCAGAGGCCCCATGTGTTGAGTATAATAGATGAGTGAAATAGAATAACCAAACATGCTCATATTCACGAATGTCGTGTTCGGAGTTTGGCTCCATTAAACTTCACTGTATCTCCTGTTTTCATTGGGGGCGGGGGGGAATGGCATGTTTTATAAATACCGTGGTGACATTACAGTAAAGTAGCGGCTCAAAGGTTCATGAACAGGGAGCGGAATGACTGATACTAACATTTCACTGTTGACAGATGAGAACAGGCGTCTCGGGATTTGGCGGATTTGTCACTGATATTACACAGCCTAGACAAATCCAGAGATTGTTTGTTTATTCATCAACCAATAAAGCAGCGGAGAAGAAACAGATGGAGGCAGACATTGCTCTGCCTGCTCCGTATATCTCCTGGGAGGAAGAGGAGATCAAGTAGCAACTTCGCACAACCTGCAACTCACTGTTGTGCAATCAGAGAGACGGATCCACTGTAGAAGGGTTTTGTTGAAAAATAATTAAAGTGCCCAAGACAAGGGTTTGACAGAAGTCATTTAATCGCAGCCAAGTAGAAGCTGCCAGGCATAAACAGCAGACGTTCCCACTTCCTTTACGTGTGACAGCCTGTAAGTAATAATACTAAACATTAACTGCAGCTTCTTTTGCACTTTTCAAGACAAATGACATCGTGATCATTTCAGTTCTGACTCGTGTGATTGTTAGCACAGCATGGAGCATAGAGTCAATCAGCCAGGAAAAGCTGAGGTGAGATGAGGCGTGCAAGGTTTTAAACAATTAACATGGATGTCACACAAGTCTTTATCAGGCAAGGTTTCAACTTTAAGAAAAAATGATTCAACGTGTACTTTGACTTTTTAGTTTGGTCCACATCCCATCCACTAACACGGAAGAGGATTTATGACCTAAACTGAAGCCAGCCCCTCTGGCTTCACTTTTGGGAACCTGTCATGTCATCCATCTTTATTCACAGCCTATGCCACAGACCCAGATTTTACCAATGACACAAATATGAACACAGTTACAGTAAATGTCAGACTGTGACACTGATATTTCCGTGGAATATTTGGTCGTATGTTAATTTGCGTTGTCCAGGCTTTAATGGGACATAGCAAAGTGACAAAGCGGTTAGCCAC